GGGGGGGGGGGGGGGAATGAACAGCATATATGCACTAATTTCTCAGAAGCCTGTATTATTATTATTATATACAGGAAAGGACACAGGTCCAGAAGAATACAGGCTGGTCTCTACAATCTTCATATCTGGCCACTTAAAAAGTACGTCTGAAGGCTCAGTAAATAGGAGGGGATAAGGAGTAGCAGAGAGGTGAATTCTTCGCAAATTTGGAAGATAAAAAGATCCAAAGTGTGTTCTGGGCCATAACTACATTCAACTCTGGATGCATTTTTTAAGAAGTGTATATTATACACTGTTTCTAAATGTATAAAATTTTAGTGTACAAAGAAAGATGATGCATGGGGAAACGAGGAAGAAAGTAACAGAAACCACTCCAGGAAATCATATGTATTATCTCCCTTGAAACAGAAACAACTATGCAAGCGGTAATGGCTTTCCAGATGGATAAACTGGCCTGAAAAAGGACTCTTTTTCTAACTTTTAAAGCTTCACCTCAGAAACTTATATACGCCATTTAGCAAACATGTACTTTTAAATTCATCTGAGTTAAACCTCTGGTTTTGTTTTATTAACACTAGTAAGACGTTTTGAAACAACGAACAACAAGTACAGAAAATATCCATGATGTTTAATTCTTCCCTGCTTGCAAGCAAAAACCCCCAAAATATTGGCTCTAACCAACCTCCATTTTCTTTTACATGTAAAAAAAAAATATTCAGGAATATACAAAGAAAAATAAGAAAGACCAGTCTAATCTCTTCAGTAGGAGGTTGTTTGCTGGCTGAAGGTTGGCAGGGTGTTTGTTTCACTCAATGTTGCTCTTTGCAGCCGGCAAGCTCTCGGGCTTCCATAGGACCTGTCACCATGCGGGAGGAGCATCTCTGTGCAGGGTGCCATACGGCAGGATGACATGCCTGTTGCCATGGCTACCACAGCGAGTGGGGAGACGTGCCTGTCAGGGACCAATTTACTTCTCCAGACTGGCACTGCCACCAAAGGGAAGGCAAGCTCTCCCATAAATCTCAGCAGAGACTAAACACTGAGCATAATAACCTAAATTTACACACAAGTGTTCTGTGCAGGTAACGTTTCTATAACATACTGTCAGACACGAAAACATCCATTCCAACCTTATCTTCCCCGCAAAAATGATTTCTAAGATATTCAACTGGTAACAGTACAGAGTCTTATCTTATATTCTTTGAGGCTCTCCAGCATCTACACTAATTAACTTCTACTGTAGTAACATTTGTATTGTACAACAATAAAGATAATTACCTATCAATTAAGCATCAATTTATATTTTTACCTCTATCAACTCCAAAGGACTCATGTATTACTGAATATGACAAAGAATAATAGATAGGGCACTGCTCAAATTAGAAAAGGGTTTTCAGTCTATGTTGTTATGCTTAAAGTGTTTTTGATTACCCACAGTATGATCTGTGAAGAGTACAGAGATCTTCAAAAGTCTGGTAAGCTGTTTTGATTTGTAAGTTGAAAAAGCATTCTTATTTCTTTACTTGTGTTTCAATGCTCGCCACATAAAAATGCACACCATTTAATTCATTAAAAAATTCACTCCACTCCAGTTAAAACAACATTGAAACAATCTGAAAGTTTAAGATTAAATATTCAGTCCTAAGAGTCTTGAACACATTACTGCTAAAGCAACCGTTTGGAAAGCAATGTATGGGAAAATGTGTTCTCCTTAATTACATTATATTTGGCAATCCATTTATTACCTAATTGCACAGAATATGCATTTTACTAATGTTAGTTTACAGTTTTTTCTCCCGTGGTCTGCATATCTGTAACAGGTAAAAACTCCAAATGGACATTAAAATATGAACCACACTCTCTATTTACTCTGCTTGTTTACTTTAGCAATGCTTAGAAACAGCTTGTTCCTTGTTACTTTGTCCAAGACCTTCCTGTGCCACCCTTGAAAATCCAGAAAACAACGTTAGTTACAGGATTATAGAAGAGTACGAGGGTCTTCAGTACCTGGGGATCACAGCCATCAAACCCTTCCTGGTAAATGATCCTCTGAATGGACTGAAGCAGCCTTGCATAAGCACTGTTCATATTACTGTTGGTAAGAAGAAATAGTTTGTTACACATTTTAATACTTTCCTATATAACTCTAACAGCTGTATTAAAAATAAGTATAAGCAGACGCAGCTTTCAGTCCGAAAGTGACATACAGAAAAAGGTGTCATAGGAGAAAAAACCCAAACCTCTTTGAATAAAGTTGACATTATAGGCAGTTGTGATTGCTTCATGTTAACTAGTTCAGTGCTCAGACATTAGTGAAGGCTAAAATCTCTAGGGATTAAGATAACTTAATTATGTCAGGCTCACTTACATCTAGAAGATTAATGATTCAGTGTATCAACTTAAAGTTGAAACCATTACAGCACAGTACTAATCTTCTACAACTGACAAAGATCTACCCAATTGTTATTCCAGGTATACCTATCAATGCCCTGATGAATACAGTTGACTTTCTATTACTGAAAACTTTGATACATACAACGGTCACAACAATCAAATCCAACAAAAAATGAAAGAAACATTTTCACATTTAAAAAGTTCATGTAGTTAAATTTTTTTTTAAATTATTTTTTTCTGATACTGCACCAGAGTATAAGATACATTCTGCTGCGCTACGGTTCCATTTTGTATTCATACACTACAGGTGTTATTACTGCTTTTTTGCATGACAGAAGAACTGTGAGGCAGAATTTATTTTATGTATTATTTAGAATATACACACGCATATATATATAAAAAAGCAAACCATTGGCTAAAAATGGATTTAAGCAGACTTAAAACCAAATGAAAGTTCAGCAAATCATCTCGTCAAAAGTCTTAGAAGGTCCAGTTCCTGCATGTACAAAGCACTTCTTCAGATATCCATCCCAGTCATGCTCTCCAGTCCACAGACTAATACATACAAAGGACAGAAAGTCCTAATCCTTACTTTAAAAAGGCAAGCCAGTTGTTCACTTTTAAGAAGAGACATACCGTTTTCTTAAATCCCATACAGCATACTGGCTTGTGTGTCTGGACTTAATGTAGGTTCCTCACTGCAGCTGAGAGTTTTAGACCTTCTATCTTTTCTAGCTTTGGCATGTCCTTCTAGTCTCGCTAATTACCATCAAGGGTTGTGGACTGAAACATTCTTCTGTACTTCTTGGGAAATGACAGGTTATTCTGAAAATTTTGTCTCTAAAAATATTCTTACTTGCTCCAACCAGTTTATACTTCTGGTCTGATAACAGTCCAGGTTGGAAGGGACCTCGAAAGATCACCTCCAAACATTAATTAAACTATTCCCATTACTTCTATAAGAGTCAAAAAGGCCATCCAAATGTATTTTGTATTTTAGGTATTCATACTAATGAATACCTAAACAAAATCAAGTAAACTTGCTTTCATACTTTTGCACAGGAGAGAAGACAACTTTTCTGAGAAGCATTTAAGAGTTGCAAACACCGGTCTTTTTACACCATTGCTTTAACTCAGAATTCTACTTTTCCTTTAAGAAAACAGTATCAACCCAAACCCAACCCCCGCAATGGTATAAGTTATAAACATCTCCAGTCAAAAAAGTCATATAGTCATAATAATTTTGAGTTTTGAAATACTCAATGTCAGAAAACATTGAAAGACAACCCTTCTCAGATATAAATAAAAGGGAGAGTTTCCAAATTAAACTCTTGTTTATTTGTTTTCAGATTTAGTACCCTAGAAGGCTACTGGTTAAACTGATGTACCTTAATAATTTAACACTCTCTATGAAATTCACAACTGAAAATAACTGGCAATATATAATCTCAACATGACATTTAACGTGCAAAGTCTGCTTTACTATACCAAAAAGCACATCTCAAACAGAAGAGTAAATTTTCCTAGTGTTTAGCTGCAAAAGGAATGGCTGCTAAGTGTTATACCTATACTCTCTTGCAGGTCTCAGTTTACAAGGTAGGTAGAGGTGAAGAGGGCTTTAGCCTCCACGCTAGCCAAAGTGTCTTCTCTCTCCATGTCTTCACATTATCACAACACACACAATCTTCCTTGCTTACACAGTGTTGCGATTTCTTCCCAGTTTTGCCAGAGCTGGAGAGAATCTGAAGCACTTCGCAATAACCAGAACCATTCGTATAACCTTTTGGATATTCCTTTATCCTTTTGGAAAAGAAAAACTCAGGAAGGAGATGCAACTATCTTGCAGCCACAGATAGGAACGCAGTATGTGTAATACGAAGACTGTGGCCTTTGTTACCACAAACTAGCATTTTTAAGTTTGTGTATCTATCACTTATTTTACTTATCAGTATTACCATGCTATCTGTAGGGATGCCAGAGAATATACTGTAATCACAATACTTGTCAATTCCTGATTTGTCACTAACTTGCTTTTAAGTTAGTGGATGAAAGAATAAAATACCTAAAGTATTAGCAGAATTAAAGGGTCCCAAAATTTAAATAAATACATACATAAATAAAGAGATCTTCAGTTAATCCACCAGAAAAAGATTTGCAGCAAAGAAAGAATTAAAGAATGCAATGCATGTAGATTTTTTTTTTTAATGTAAGAATAGGTGCTCTTCTGCTTCTTGCTAAAATATTAATGGTTTACTTTAATTTGAACCATACTGTAAATAAGGACATGAAAAATATTGTGGAAACACTATTTATAAAAACAAGTTGCATTACCCTTCTGGCAATATTTGTCATAATATTTAAGGAAGGAAACAAGATATTTCTTATTTTCTAATTTCTAGTCTTTTTTTGGCTTTGTTACTAAACACCGTTTAATTCTGATAATGAGTTTAAACAATTCCTTCTTTACTCTTCTTTTTGTTTAGCAATTTAGTAATGGACAAAGCAGGAGCTGGCAAGAAGGTATCCTGGTTACAACAGAGCCTCTGACTTCTCTGTTGATAGTTTCTAAGCAGTTAACAAAGGTTAGGTTATCACGGGTATGACAAATAGCCTTATTATGTATAAGGAGACCCCATTAGGCAAGACAGTTAAACCTGTTTTATCTAAATTTATCGGTAAATCTAGACTCTAGATAAATCTATTCTTTTTCAAAAGCACATACATTCTTAAGGTAAAATTTACCAGTATTATTGAAAAACTACAGCTTAATTATTTTAGTTTCCTTGATTATCAAACTTTCTCTTTTGGTAATTGAACTGAACAATGAGGATAGAAAGAGAGAGGTAGAAACTAAGCCTTTTCTGCGATGCAGAGAGAATATTTCGGCCTTCCTGTAAAGTAACAGCTTTAGCAATGTAACAAAAAGGACATCAGAATATCCTAGCAACAACTACTAGAAAACAGTTGCTGTCAGCCACACAACTCCGTTAACCTGGTCTGAGTATCAGGGCCTTTCCCTAACATAAAAAATAATGAGATAAGGAAGCTAAGGTTTATGCCTTCTTTTGGCACCAAACACCAAGTCCCATTTACTACTTCCTTTAGGAGAACAGACTTCCCAATCTGTTTTCAATTAATGTTTATCATGGAACAATGAACTTCTATCCGTCTTGAGTGATTATCCAAAAGCGAACCCTTTAATCTAATTTAGCCATCAGGTACCAGAATTACAGAAAGGAGAGCAAACACCGTATTCCTCATCTCCCTCCGTCAAAAAGCAGATACACACACACGCATGCAAAAACACAGGAAAGAAAAGAAAGATTGATCCTAACTTTAAGGTGATCAAATGATTTATATAACCTCCAAATGTGAACTTTTATTGCAAAGTAAAAGGCCAGTCAATATCTTAGTTCCTGTCTAATCAGTCAAAGAATCTTCTTTCTTTGCAAGTCCATAAAGAAGTCAAGTGCTTGTGTGGATAGGAAGAGAGGGACATGTGTATAGATACGCATGATTTCTAAAAAGGGTCAAGAGTTTCTGGCCCAAACGAAGCCTCTACATCTCTGATCCTGCAAGGAAAGCACTGTAATTATCTTGCAATAGACAATAGCTACAGTTACAGAGATAGTTCACTCACTGAAGAATAGTTTAAATAAAATAGCTTTCTTAATGTCATGCTAGAGAATTAGAAGCACAAAGATGATTTGGTCCTTTTTACAAATACATGGTTCTTCTGACACAAAACACTGCGACAAAGGACCTTGCTTATTAAAAGATGCAGCACTGTTTTTCCAGGATTGTAAAATATATGTTCACTATACTCACTGTGTCTGTCAGAAGAGTATAAGCTGTACACGAAAATGTGGTAGACTACTTTTCTTGTATATTTTCTGCTTTAACTGCATAATCTGTTCTTTGTTGTTACATCCTTGCACGGTGAAAGGAAATGAGAGCAAAGGATTGTTCTTCTTGTTCCCCACCCCTTCCCAAATTGTTCCAAAATTCAAGGAGGAAAAATGAAACCTAAGGCCTTCAAAGCTAGTCACCCTCTAAGTGAAAGGGAAAAGTAAGGCTGGTCAACAAGGTGAATTCTAGGTGCACCTAACAAGTTACAGATTAAGTACATTCTTTGAGTAACATTAATTACATGTAAAAGTAGCAGGTGTCTACCAGGAAAACAGAAAAAAACCTCACCCAAAAAAGACACCACTTAGAGAATGCCTTGCTCACATCAGTAAATGTGATAATTTAATTAAAAAAGTGCAATAAAAAAAAATATACTGAGCTTCTAAAATCTTTCTTTACAATTACTAGCTTGTCATTGCAGAACATATAGCTTATGATTTCAATGTGGAATGTGTATGTTGGGTTAGGTACGCTTTCCATGATGACTACTTAATTTAAGGTCCCTCTTCAATGGCTGTAGTTATGGGACTATAACAATCTATTTCAGCCTGAACTTAAACCATGCTGTGCTCTGCTACATTACAAGTATTTAGAAAGCATTATGCTAGCTAAAATAATGTGGAAACATTTTGAGAAGTTTTTCCTTCCCCCCCCCTTCCTAATTTTTTGCAACTTCTGATACTATAAAGAGGTATTATCCATCAACAACAATACCATTTACATACAGAAAATTACATACTATGTAAAACTATCAGTTCCCATCTTGTCCTCAACCTCTGTATTAGTCACAAAAGCAAAACATTCTTAGATTTAAAAAAACCAAAACCCCATACCACTGATTTTGGTCTGCTCTCCTACACAATTTAAGAGAAAATTTCATTCAGAAATGTCTTTAGTGATACACATCTTGCAAAGTATACCCTTTAGAAAGTAATGAAATCTTTCGCAAACACCCCATAATACATAGCCTATTAATGTAAATTATTTCAATAATGAACTATTCCTTTTCTTAAAAATGCCTCCTTATTTTTGAAGGATTTGTCAGCTTTCAGTGTTAACATAGCTTCTGTCAATCTTCTTTTGATAAATTAAATTGAAAAAAAAATCACATTTTTAGAGATTTTCTGAATTTCAAGTAATTTTTGTAACTTCTTAGTTCTTTCCAGTCTATCAGCACTTTTTTCGAGGTACTGTCAGCCTAATAGACTACAGGGATTTTGTAATGCTATATAGGTAATTAGCATTATGTGACCAGGTGTTTTTTTGGCTATGCATCTAAGACCAGAGTCTGAGAACCTTATGTTTAAGAAATTATACCCTCTAAATAAAGACATGCTAACTAGCCATGTCCATGCTTGTAGCTCAGTGTAACGCAGAGTAAAAGAGGTTAGCTCAAGCTCTCAGTGGGACTTTCAGGCAATGAAAGATGCGGTCTAATACAAATTGTTGACTTCCATTGGAAGGGTTAACTGTGACTATCTATTACTTTCTTTCAAATCATTGTCTAGTTAATCTAGAGAACAGAAATTTTTACTATTCTATGATATATTGAAGTTAGCTTTAGAATCCAAAAGCATTGCATTGATTTTCCAAACAGTAATGCCAACAAAATAATATCCTTCCCCTCTCCCTTTTATAAGCTTTCTTTAATGAAATGATCCTGACAGGATTGTGAGCTTGTTTTCGTTCCTTGAGAAAGAAATGCTTCCTTCAGAATTTCATCACAATATTTGTTAAATATACAGTACAAACCTGTTAGGTTTCTGTAAAAGCATTAAAATTTTGAGAGCAGTGAAATAACTGGTAACATTCATACTTAGCATTGGATTTAATACACTGTGACTAACATGTATTAAAGAATCACAGAAGATAGGGATGAAAAGGACCTCACCAGGTCTCACAGATATTTACCTAACCTGTCCTTAGAAATTTTCAGTGATATAGATTCTACAATACTCCCAACCTGCATCTGCAAGGCAACTTCTCATGCTAATTATTAGAAAAATATCTCCTTATTTTCAGCCTGTATTTCTACCATTACAGTTTACTGTAGCCATTACTGCTTGTCCTACCTTCAGCAGACAACAGCTACTACCCTCTGTATGTCAGTTTTTAACATGCTTCAAGACTCTGCTTAGGTTTTTCTAAGAACTTCCATTCTTCCATCACAGGTTGTACATCCCATCCTCATAACCTTCTCCAACTGATCCAGAGTTTTCCTGAAGGATGCTATCAAAAGCTGGACAGCCTTGTTATGGCTGAGCAGAACAGAAGTACTTTGCATGTCTTCTGCACTAAATTCCAGTTTATCACCTCCATGCTTTTTAAATTACGTTTTTCGGTAGCATTAATCACACAATACTGCTAACATATTTTATGTTCAAGATACTTTATAACCCCAGATCTTCTTCTGGAAACCTGCTACCCTATTTTATTTGTTCAATTAATTATTCCCACTAGTATGATATTTGGCATGTCTTCACTGAATTCCATACAGTTTATTCCAGATCACTGACCTAAATCTTCTTGAATTCCAATTCTCTTATCTAATATGCATGCAATTGTTCTTTCCACTCTTTTCCAAATTTGACATTATGACTGCAATAAAGATACCCCTTGCTCAGGATACGTATCAAGCCAAATTAGTACTAGATTATTACCAAACCAAACACTGTGATAAAGCCTGGTACTTCACACAGGTTCAACTGTGACTCATTGACAGTTTATTTAGAAGATAAGGATTTAACAATCAACATGACAAAAAGAAAACTGTCAAACCAGTCTATGTTCCTCCTTTGACATGATAACAGACTTTATCAATGGAGAATATCTTGTTTTATTTTAAAGCCTTTTGACTCTATTCCAGTTGAATACCCATAAGCAAACAAAGGAAAAACATACTAGGTGATACTACCTAGAAGCTTAAAAATAATTTTTTTTTTTTGGGGGGGGGGTATTTTTTTGAGCACTGATGTTATCCCACAGATGTCTTCACCTTCTCCTCTTGTTAAAGACAGGCATTGCTTTGTCCTTTTTGACTGTGAAACTTTGAGAATTCTTTACATTTTATTGATGAACTTCATTAGGTTCCAGCTTGAAAACATTTATGTATTTTCTAAGCTGGTCTTTCCTTATGTAAATTGGGTAGTCTGATTTGCTGATTTTTTTAAATTTTTTTTTATTTGCTGATTTGCTAGGTGCACATCAATTTAGGGATCGGGATAATGGGAGAAGCAGCTTTTCTCTGCTTCCATCATTTTTTAAGAACTCCAGTTATACAACACTGATGAACAGAAGCTGAAATTCTAATTCAGTTTATTTTTCAAATGTGTGTTGAAATTGAACGACTGTAACTATGGGAAGCTTGAATCTTTCATTTCTCTATGGAGAAATAAGCTTTATGTTAGAGGTTGTAATTCTGAAAAATTCTTCTTGCCACCTTGTCTTAACCTTCACCTAGTGCAACTTTTTTAATAAAGGGAATCCAAAAGCAGTGGTGTTTGTGGTCAGGATGACAATAATCAAAGTTAGAAGACACATGATCTAATGCAAATGAAGAAAGAGATGTACACATTTCTTTTTCACATTCCCAACAGATTTCTGTCTGAGAGTTCACTATTCCCAATGTGTTCTTTATTCCTCCCCGTCCCTTATCACATTGCATTGTGGTCTAAGAAAACGATGTTTAGAATGGTGGTTGTCTGTTACTTTGGTATCTGCCTTTACTCCCAACAATACAATTCTTTCATTTCCTCAGGAGAGGTTTCTTGACAGAGACCCATGTTGCGGGTGCAGGGAGATGAAAAGGAGATAAGCCCTCTAAAATCCATCTTTATTTGATCATGTTCCTCACTTCATCACTCTCTGCTGTACCAATTTGCCAAGCAAATTAACTAAAACTAATCTTTCTGTTAGAGTAAAACTAAAAATAAGAATAGAATTCATATGGTAAGAACAATGAACTTTTATCAGGATAGCACACAAGGAAAATACCAGTTAAGCAAGGCTTAAAAAATCAAATGCATACAAGTTAAAGTCCATTTCCTATACTATACATATGAATTCATTTGATTTTAATGTAAAATGTACAAATACTTGACAGCCATATAGTTAGTGGAATTAAACCCAGTGTCATGTGACATTCTAGTTAGCTAGAGAAAAGATAGAAAGGGAGTTAAATTGCTCCGTAATAATACAAGCACTTGCAACCTATCTGTCAGATACTCTTGTGTCTATCCTCTATGGCCCTGCTACTAAAAAAAAAAATAAATTGTACATAATATATAAATAAAATTGGTTCAAATATTTACTATAGCAAGAATAAAATATAAGTTTTCTGCTTTCTCCTGAAAGTTTTTTTTTTACAACATTGCAAGAATCTCCTTTATAAACCAGTGACATTTCATCATGTAACACACAAATTACAAAGAGACTTAGCTTTTGCTTTTCCACAGCTCTAAGAAAAGTGCTTCATAGTGCGCTTCTTTCATAAATCTCACTTTTTGTATTTGAGTGTACTGTAATGAAAATCGATCACAATAAAGCATACTGTACTACTACTTCCAGGAGTTCGCCTTATACACTGGGATCTATAAAATTAGGTATTATAGAAATTAAGTGACGAGGCTGAACAAAGAGATTGCTAGCCCATATTTGATGTTTGACTTGACTTGAAATGTCTCCAAGGAAGATACAATGGACGTGTGTGCTACAGGCTAATATGACTCTTTGCTACTGTCACTCATTTTCTCTTGGTCTTCCTTAATTCATTACTGATAGACATAAACTATAATAAGTTACTCATTCAGAGAAGACTTTATGATTTTCTCTGGAATTAGGGGTGTTGTGCAAGACATAATTAGTGATTGTAATTCTATTCACACTATTTTGCATTTTCCTTAGGTGAAGCTGTAGGATGTAAGAAGTAAAAGTCACATAATAAACTAATCTGACATAGCATTCTAAGCTATGTAGGTCAAGGATGGCCTGTCTTCTTCGCCCTAAAAACTGTATGGATATCTTCCTAAGACTGATAGCCACCTGACACACACATCTCCCAAAGCTGATGGGGCATGGTGCTCAGGGACTAGTTCACGGACAGTAATAGTTTTCCCCAGTCCCCACACTCAGCTGTCAGTAGGGCTAGACTGAATATGCAGCTGTGTCCTAGGCTGTCCTAGTAATGTCTGCCTTAATTGCCCTTGCCAACTTGCTTCCTCCTACAGCTGAGGAGTCAGTATACCGAGCTGTCTATGTGCCACAGCAGCTTTGCTGCCAGTCATGGCATGTAGCACCGACATGAGAACCACAGCTGAACTGCCTGTGAGCCATGTGTGGCTACAAGATTTTTCACAGCAAGTGTAGATGCAAAAATATCCTTTACTACTAATACGCAGACAAGATTTGAACACACAACAGAAGCAGGTGGTATTACAACTTACCATGTTTTCATTTTAGGCTGTAAAGACAATTCTTCAGGAAGGTAAAAACTGTGCCATTTAATGGACTGAAACAGTTCTGGAGACATTGTTTTAGAAACATCATAATAATGGCCAAATTTTGTAGATGTCGTTGGGCTGGCCTGTGGAAACAACAATACTGATTACAATAATCTATTAAATTATTATCTGTCAAAAGAAAATAATTAACTAGCAATACACTTGAAAGAAACCTCTGGTTTTTTTCCCATTCAGCTTAAGTTTCAAGTAGAACAACATTATAGTATTTACTACTAAGTTTTGGTTCCCCTGTTGACATTCTAGAATGTGAATTTTTCACACAGAATTCAACCTCACTGTCCCAAGTTGTATCACCAAAGTGCAGTCAGATACTTAAAAGAATGTGGTTTTGCACATGTTCTAGACATATGATCACAAACTTGAAAAGGCCAGATATATGAAATGTGCAGACTGTGATGTGTTCCACCTGATTTTTCAGTATCTGGGAATTATATGGCATTATAGAAACATTTTCAGTTGACTTTGAAAATGTTTCACTTTATTTGTGATCAGTAAGAAAAAATAGCTTTGCATCTTCATATAACTGATTTTAATAGAAAATTGTAAAAAAGAGGAAATAGTTAAAACCTACTTTTAATTTCTTGAATTTTAATAAATAGTAGGTTGGGCATTACACAGACATTACACACAATAACCACAGTTTACTATAAACAAGATACATTTTTATCAATTCCTAATTTGGGGTATATAAAACATCATAAAACCCCCAAATTTAACATACACCATGGCAGGAATTACAGATTTTGAACATGTTTTGCTAATAAATAAACAGAGGAAAGGAATGCATGTTTTTGTTCCATGTTAATGGAGTTCAGAATGCAACCTGCAATCATTTGAATTACACATGTAATGTTAAAAAACCCCTAGATTGTTATAAAAGGCAATATTCAAGTATGTAGTGTCTGTCTGCTACAGGAATTGAAGAGTTTTGCTCTTCATGAAAGAATCAATTTTTTTCATCTTTTCTGCCCTTCCCATTTGAAAAAAAAAGCTATCCTGGAAACAACAGTCAAGCACAGTAAACCTCAGAGGCATGTTAGTTTCTTCCATGGAAGAAAACCACTTGGCACAAATGTAAACCACTATATAGTACTTTTAAATGTACACACTGTAAAGGAATAACAGATTACAGAGCAGTATTAAAATTGAGCTTTATGTTATGGCACAAACACCACTGTGCTCCTGATCAGATTCTCTCTCATCAACTATTCTAACTCTTTTGAGGAAAAAGAAAGGTCATTTAGAATAACCAAACAAGTTTTGTAACACAAGTAACACTCAAACCCACAATATTTCTAGCTGGTAAGACACCTGAACTGAGAAAGGTGCAGGATCCTAGACTTTTAACGGCAGCTTTGCGGGTCAAATGAAAGATCATCTATTAGTTTATTTTGAGGACAACTACCCTAAGCCTGGACTGCATCTGAAGTATGCGTTGTACAATGCAGGAATGTGTAAAAATATTTTAAAGTAATTTTTCTGTCTCCCAACTCCAAGACTTACTGCTAAGCTGAATCCTTCATAAAAGCCACCTCACATATTAAAGGATAAAGTATTAAAATAAACCGAAACATCTTAATGGTTGTGAAAGAGAACAGGTGAGAGAGAAAAGGTAAGAGCTGAAAGCCAGAGAGATGCTGAAGACATATTCAGACTGCAGAACAGAATGTCTTTTAAAGGTCATTCTGAAGAGAAGTTTGGATTGGTAGGTAAGACGAAATACTATTTTGTTTGTACTTAAAAGCATGGAATTACTTTTGAAAAGTGATCAGAAATAATTTCAGAAGTTTCTTAGTAGGTTCTGTAACAACTTAGAACATTCTATAAAAGGACTTTTCTTTTAAGCAGGCCATTATATAAATTTTATCCACTATCTGAAAATTGAGCAGGGTTGTGTGTGTATGCAATGAAAATTCTTTGCAACAACTTCTGCTCCAATTTCAACATCTGCTATTCTTGCTATATACAGGAATGACCATAGGTATACTGAATTATTACAATAATGGGATCCCAGTATTTTTTTGTATGTTGAGCAACAGATGATCTAGTTCCAACTCCAATTATTACAGAAAGTTTGTGGTTTTCTAAACCTTGGTCTTGCTAATAAAGTAAGTACTGTAATAGTAGAAAGACGGAACACATGCCTGACATGGCCATGTATTTATAGTCAGCTTTCTGAAATCAATCATGCTACGTATTTCCACAACTTTATTTCATGCTTCAGCTTACCAAAAATATATTAAACTGTTAAGATTAATTAGAATAATGTAATTCAGAGTAAATACTTTGAAATTATTTCATTAATGGATGTTAGGCCTGGTCAGTTATCAGAGAATATAAATAGTAACAGTAATACAATATCTTTCTGACAAAAACAATAGAATAACCAAACTAAACCCAAACTTTTCATTAAAACAAAGAATTAGTTTTTCATTAAAAAAACCACAAAATTGCTCATGTATATCTAGTCATAAGACGCTGATCAGTTTTACTCAAAAAAAGACAGAAAATCACATTCTCTAAGTCAGTGTTCCAACTTATTTATCAGCATCCGATTTTTAAAGAAGGAAGTCCAACAAAACACAACAATCGATCAAAATCTAAATATTTTTAATGTAAAATGTAACTTTATTTAAAACGAGGATTCTGAAAGCAATTTAAACAGGAGTTGTTCTTTGGCCTATAATCTATTCTTTATCCGGATTACAGATCAGAATGTTTTTACTGCAATCTCTGCCACAGCTCATCTTTTTATTGTGTACTTCCAAACCCCCTTAATGTTTTAGAAAGGCCTTGACTAACTGAACTTTGATCTGATGTCTTCATTGAGAAAAGCTCCAGGTTGCCCATTTCAGATGCAAATCCTTACTGAGGCCCAATAGAGTTTAGTAAAGACAGCAAAAAAGAAGAAACAAGAAGTTTCCAGGATCCTCTTTGAGAATCCTGAGGCACATTGGTGTCCTTAATCCACCCTGCTGCATGGATTAAGGTAGGTGATAACCTCTCTTGATTCAAAAGAATAAGCACAGTGCCTACAAACTGGGTGGAGACTAGGATTTGGCTATAATAAAACACCATGCAATAAAAGCTCAGTCTATGTCAGAAGCCTATGAATAGGCCACAATGTACTGCGTTCCCAGGCTTAGCGGGGAAGCTTGCAAAAAGCCTACCTGAATCAAGTAAGCATGAATAATCTGCCTCAGCAGAATGACCATGGAGAGTGCGAAGCAGAGACTTTCCATTCCTCTTAAGTTTGATCTGATAAATTTATTAGCGGATTGGAGGCTCAAGCCTGTTCTTTCCTGGATTCCTGTTTTGCACAAGGAGAAATACACTAAATTGTCAGTGAGCAGAGCATGCTTTTATGCTACCGTCTGCTGTTAATGTTTCTAATTGCAATACTAATGTGCTAGAAATCTCAGATTTAGGATGAATCAAGGCAGAAAATTGATTTCATGCTGTGACAGTTTATATATTGCCCCAAGAACATAAGCAGTTCATTCAAAAAAAAAAAAAGAAAAAAAACCACACTGTCTTGCGTTGCAAAACAGGCTATCCATATACTTAAAAGTTTAAGTATATCTCTGATATAGATGAAAGTAACAAACTGGCAAAGGCACATCAAGTACAGCACGACCTGTTATTTCCTATAAATCTTCTTTTTCTGGTGTATGAGGTTTATGCATATGCAATACGTAAAGAGAAACTGTGCTGGTTATGAAGAATACTAATATAAATACCACGCATAAGAACAAAAATGAGTTACCTAGCTAGTCAATATGAGGTCTAATAAGCAGGAAGGGAATATCTGAAGTATTAATGAAAATCTCTTTTACTATGTAGAAATAAAAACTAAATTAAACATCAATAATACCACAAAGACAGCTTTTACTCAGCATTCTTACTTCATGTAAAGCCAGATATCGGATGAAAATTTTTTCTGCTAACATGTTTGGAGTTCTAGTTAAAAGCAAAGCTATTTTCTCTTTTTCATGCTTGAAACTATTTGATAGTAGTTTTTGAAAATGTACTAGTTTATTAGTTCAATCACTTTGGAAAATATGCCTTGAAATTTTATTCAACATAATTTTTTTCCATCAAAAGAAAATTTAAAGAATAAATCACAACTGAGGTTGTTAATTAAAAGAGAGTACTAACTGTATTAAACCAGGGTGCTGCAAGGCAATATCAGATTTTTCCCTCAATGGAATATATTCACCAATCAAATTCATCTAGCGCAGCACCAAAATTTTATGATAACTGCATTATAAAATTTTGAAAAATATGAGTTTCAAAACTTTTTTCCACCAATCAGAATATCCTGAGGAATTTCAAGTATAGATAGCTTAACAATTAGATTTCTATTTGCAAATTTTAATTTTTAAAATAAATTCAACATATAGCCAAAAATATTGCACCTCAACTATTCAGAATAATCAGCATCCAATTCAGAAAGTGACAATGAACAAGGGAAACACCCCACCAAAGATTGACCATTTTATTCTATCTTGCATAATCAAATTTCAATAATCGAGGACAAATACATTATGTATTGTAGAGAAATACTATATTAGTGGAAGAAGTGATTACTTCTATGAAGTTATAGAAGATGAGTGCACACCTAACTGGATTATTTATACGTTTTTCTATTTTGTTAGCACATCAGACCACTATTTGTTAACAACATGCAATTGTTTCCGTATCAATATATAAGGAATTCTGCTAGATTTTAAACCAGAGAAATTATTTTGGGGATGGTTCAGAGTGGCACAGCAAGCTCCACAATAATAAAATTGATGAGATTATATGATTACCCTGGAGGCTGTTTGATTTGGCATGTCACCATATATAAGTCTTTTCTGACACAACTATATAGCCATGTCCGTGCAATTTCACAGAAAACCAAACATGCCAAGCCTTGTAAGATCATTTTGTCACATTCCAATTATGTTTTTTAAGAATACGACTGAACTTACTAGGCAGTTATGACTACATCTAAACCAGAATTTATAAATGTAGGCTAAAATGTATAAACAAAACAAGTTTCTCGTTCTGGATAGTCAAAAATCCTGTAATTTTATTAAAGGTTGATTGTGCCACTGGATTAAATAAGAAAGTCACCAGCCATGGGAGATATATTATTCACAAAACAGTAACAACCGTAAACTCTGAAAGACTGACCACTCGGCTTCTTTCTTATATTCTCCCTGCACAGCGATTAGTTTCTAGTGACAGTGAAGCTGATATAATCTCAAGTGCTTACTTTAGCTGTTATGCACATGGATAAGCAGGTCAACAGCTTGCTTCAACACAGTGCTTTCACTACAGAGATCTAGTAAGCACTGTTGATTAAACCTACTTAAGTAATTTGTGTACAACTAAAATTGGGCAAAGTCTGTAAGTGACTAAATTATTTAAATTTTCATAAAAAGCTGTCTCAATTTAATAATACTCATTTAAAAATACCATGGAACTTTAGTGTTTTTTACTTTTAAATTATTATTGTCTGTATTAAGTTTTACAGTTCCTGCAAACTCTCAAATTTCCTTTCTCTCTAGTAATCAAAAATTACAGTGGTGTATGATAATTTACTCTCAGGAGAGAATTCTGTAACACAGTCCATTAGCAGTTCTGTTGTCTAGATTCTACTGAAAAGCATTTGTTCTGAAAATCCATTTTGACTGCAAGAGGAAAAAATTACGAAATACTGATTACCTCCATTTTTGGTAAATTTTGGTAGCGCCAGGCTATTTTCATAGAATCCTGAAAATCTTCAGACTTAACAGCTGTTGCTTCTTCTCCCAATTCATTTCTGTAGGTACCATCAAGCAAAGGTGCTGGAAGTTCCTACAGGTGGAGAGCAAAAGAGTGTCAGCTATCTAGAGTAGAAATGGCAGTTCAGATTTTTATCCCCGCCCCCCAAAGTTAGCTAATACAGTTATCTTATTATAATGAACAATTGTAAAGTCTGTAACAAAACTTGATTAAAATAACCGTTCTGAAAGACTAGTCTCTACTAATACTGAGCATGAAAAAAATGTTATTATCATGGGAAAAATGAATTATACAAATATGAGAATGAAGAATGGAAATATCACATTGTATACTCCATTTTACACAAACAACACATCTTGAGCAGCATCCATATTCCTTTTTTTTTTTAATCTTTCTTTAAAGGTTCATCTCCTAAACTATTCTATTTCTGAGAATAGGTAACTTTCCTGCACAGTGAATTTAACCTATTTTATAATAAGATCTCTTTTCTTAGCTTCTGTAAATCTTTCAAAAATATTCAACAGACCACAATAGCCTACAGACACAGGCTGAAAACAACTGTAACAGGATGGTTTGAATTTTCTCTTCTGCTAACCATTAGGCATGATACTTGCTAATGACGGATACTTCATGAAAACAAATGAGGGAGTAAAAGGAAGGAGCAAATATTTAATCCTGGAATTTTTATAGGTTTCTAATGTAAACATTTCTGGCTTAAAAAAAGCATTGTACACAGGTGGATTTAATTGTTCTATGAGGACAGAACTGCAGCTTTGACTTAGACCTAGATTAGGAACGATGCTTTATTACAAATTTTCTGCTTTCTACCTTTGTTGCATTGCTGAAAAAGTAAACAGCACTGGGTGGATATCAAGCACAGCATTCAGAATGTATTCATTTGGCTTCTACACCTACTAGAGGAATAAACTGCAACCAAGTTTTCTGACCCAACTTTATTACCTATCTGTGTAAGCTGGAGGTGACAGGAACTCTTTAATCTGCTTAATATAGATCAAGACTTATTCGAAAACTAAGTTTTCATTAAGCAAAGATTCTTGAGAGAGAACTGAATGTGGTCTCAAGGGTTAAAAATATATAGAGCTAGCCAGTATCTCTGTTACAAGGTATTACGTGTGAAGACATAAAAAAACAAATTTGAAAACTTTAGAAGAAGAATCTCCATCGAATTATGGGATATACATGGAACTGAACATAGGCAGAGAGAGCTGATACTGACCATAAACGTCTAAATTACATTCATGGCTTTAAGTAGGCAGACATGGTACAAACAGACACACATAGAAAGAAGACAAAAGTTTAAACTAATCCATTTTGGGTTTAGCATCACGCTAACTCAGTATTAAAGAATACAGGACAGAAAACCTCTATATAGTTCAATATGTAATCTTATGAACAACGTGTTATTTTTGTTTCTATAGTGTAAATTAACATCTACACTTACTGACAAAATCGAGAACAAATGTTTCTAGTTTCAGGACAGTTGTTTCTGTCTGTCTTTCAGTGGTTGGTCAGTACACCATCAGAGATGAAAGTTAATGGAAGTTATGAAAACTTTTATGCAGTTACTTCAGTAAAGTTGCAGAAATAGAATGACCACACCTGTGTGTTTCAGCAGCTAAATGGAAGATGCAAGCCATGCCTTTGAGCAAATAATTTTATTTTATTTACTTTCTTTTTGCAAATGAACTGCAAAAGCCTGGTAAAGGCTCTTCATGAGAATATTTATGAACAGAGTTAAATTTTCAAGTTTCTTACACTTATATACAATAAACTCATGTACTATGGTTGTAAAAATTAAGCTTTATGGGTAGGAAACCTACACGAAGATTATGATTTTAAGTTAGTGTTTACAGCTTTCACTAAATTTACAGATTTATAACAGACATTTCAGTAAAAAAAGAAATTTACTTTTGTCAAAGTTTCCTTATATCTACCCAGAAAGAAAGCAGGGAAACTTTCAAACCAAAGACTTCTGACAGACTGGAGAAAATGAAAACAGAACACTCTACTGAAAGGTTCTGAGAAAGCATAAGTACAAACATGAGCTGACAAGCACGTCAATATATTTCACATATATGCAGACACAAATTATTTGCATTTACTTCTAAGAGCACTATATGAAGAATTTTTTTAAAAAAGAAAGATATTATTTTGAATTTCTAATTTTATAACTTGGATCTCTACAATAAAGAGTTAATTAATCTTATTTTCCAATTAAGGTGCTATTTTGAAACCAAATCACTGAACAGTTAAAATATTATGCAGATTTAATTTCCTAATAATTCCTTAATTTCCTAATTCATAGATTTAAGCTGGTTAATGTAAAAAGGTCTTTCGTTTTCAGTGAAGAGCTGCTAGTACATGATGATCTCAAAATATTGCTCAATTATAGCAATTAAAAAACCAAATAAAATCAGCCTTCATTTAAAAAGTGAGTTCTGTAAAGGAATAATTCCGCAGGCCAAAACAACATTTCCAGATATCTCTTCCTTTTGTTCACCAAGACCAACTGGCTCCCAGGTACTACCAGCAACTTTTTATAGTGGTGGGTAACCTCTGCTTTTCTAAAAACAAGTGCCAGCCACAGTTTGGAAGAGATAATGAAATCCTGCCTGAACATTTCACCAAACTCCCTGAGCTTGCCCCTGTTTCAGATCCTGCCATGATATAACAAGTTGCTGCCTCAGCCTGCTGTAGTATCACTGGGCAGCTACCACATCACCTGCAAAGCCAAAATCCAGGAAATGGCTTATTTTACCATTCACTTTTACTGTAAGTAAAGAGAAAAACCACACCAATATTTTCTTAAAGCTATTTAATATTTTTCTCCTCTAGAATCACTGCAAATGTCTGTCACTTGTACTACCAGTTCATTGTTACTAAATAACAATTGGCAAAGACAAATTTGAGATAGGGACATTTAGCTATATACATTTGCCTTTATATCATCGCACATAATGTATATTTTTACACTTTACACTAAAACAGAACAGAGGTGAAGACAACAAGGGGCAAGAGGTTTTCCAAGTATTACTGATAAAGTACAGGCTACATCAATACCCTCACATAACACTGAAATAAAAGTTCCTGCCTTGCAGTCAAACACAGAACAAGGCCTTCTTGCATAGCACTATATGGAAGGCAGATTTTACAAATACAAGCTGTTGACACCCAAGAAGTTCAGTCTGAAACAATCAGAGACAGACTATCAGTGCAACACAATTAGGCACTGCTATGCCTTAACTGTTGCTAAGAATGAAGCAGATTAAGAGATCAAGGAAAAATGGTTTCACCTGAAGCTGATAAAGATTTTGGCTGCCAGAGATGAAAACCTATCTAAGTATCCATCTGAAACAGCCTTTTTTACCAACACAGTTTACTTTTCACTTCTGACATAATAAAGAGATTTTATTCTGACAGAATAAAAAATTTCTAACATTATAAAATGATTGTTTAAAGATGACTAAATTCACACAAAGCAACATGAGAAAACTTGTGACTCGGCACCGTGGCAGTTAGCATATGCATCAGCTTCGGTCTGGTTTATGACGTCTTGTCCCTTGCCGGCCCGCAGAAAGAACCAGGAGCACTTGAAGAACTCTCTCATAGCAAAAGCAACTCTTACTTCCTCAGTTGCTTTTCCAAAATGCATTTACCTAAAAATTACCACGCTTAGCTGAAGAATATGTTTCTTAGATGTACCATGTTCTTGTCCCTATGCAAGAAACACATTCACATGATGCACTGAGACTTAAGACATTTCTGGGGCTCCTAGATCTCACAGATTTTCTATCCCAACACACACTATGCTCTAAAGCAAACATATCCTGAATCATATTCTTGCATGTGGTGGCTGTGAACTTTATGGCCTCCTAGTAGGCTTTGTACATAATTCAGCTCCAATCTGGAAAAGGTACTCTGCCTTTGGAGCCAACTGGTATTTTGAAAATCAATTGCTTGAGCTCCACCTAGTATATTAATTTGGTTAAATATATTCCAAGACGTTGTACTTAAGCACAAACAGGAAAAAAAATTCCAATCCTATTCATGGCCTATCTGTAATTTGAACACATTTTAGATAAAGATTAATGAACAGAACTAATAAAGATGTTTTAACTCCAGATTTGTATCCTAACTTTATCACCATTATCCCAGCTCCTGTTTACCCTTGTTTCCCTCCCATTTACACTAAACTGTACAAAAGAGAGGCAGAACATGCAGTTGATGTTTGAAGGTATAGCTATATTGACTAGAAGCCAACATGCATGCCTTCATTAGCCTGGTAAAAGACTAAACAGATTACACAGGTGATCGCTAATGTTTTTTTTCCTTAGGATGTACTGCTTCATCGATCCCAGTCCATAATTTTCAAAGATCTTTTAACTAGATCTTTGTATAAGCACATTTGGAAAGGAAGATGGCTTAAAATTGGTTAGTAGGCTTGGGACTGGGGAGAATTACAGACATAGGACACACTTATATAAACCTGCTTTATGGGCAATATTGAAAATGGAAATTGAAATGGTCCAAACATTTCTTTTAATCTTCATATCCTCTTTTTATCTTCATGATAACTAGAACTTTCCCCTCTCCTGACACTGCAAATTAAATGCTATTCTTTGTTTCAGGGAAATAGCTCATAGCTCTTTCTAAACCTGACCATGCCTGAGTGATATAGAGCACCTAAGTGAGAAAGTCTCCAGTTGTCATAACACAGGTATATTCTCAAACATAAAAAGGCTGACTGGTTGGATATATAGTTCACAAGTCTTCAGTGTCATGAAAGGTTTCATTACCGTCTAAGAACTACAAAGCACTCATCTGTTCTCAGATTGTTCTTAAAAACAGAAGGAAAAATAAAAGTTATGGAAAGGGTAAAGCAGACCAGCAGCCAAACTAACCACAGAACACAGGCTTCTTCTGGCACAGCTATACAAAAATTGAACTGAAAACTATACAGCAGAACACATATGGAGAGCAGTGGAGGGCATGGTTTCTATGAACGACGTTTAAAGATGGCTAAGCCTGGGGTTTTCCTCAAAATATCCACA